AATAAAAATCATTTAAATTTTCATTAAAGTTTTACATTAATAAAAGTTAAAATCTTAAAATTTATATCGAATAATATTTGGTGAAGCATTTTCTTTTTTTTAAACGATAAAACATAATTTGTAACTAATGAATCGAAGGCATTTTGAAATATCATTCTTTAATTCGAAAAAAAAAAAAAAAAAATGAAAAATTCAACACTAAATTAGAGTAATTATGTAATGAAGCTGATATTCTAAAAATATACTTAAACAAATTGAAAGTGCTAAAAATAAAATTGAAGAAAAACAATTTAAACATTTCCTATGAAAAAAATAATAAGTAGATTCAAGGCTCCTTCCTATCAGTGGTAGATTTAATTTTTTCGGTTTTTAACTTCACAATTTTCTATAATTTTCAACTGCATCACCTCTATCGGCCCTGTAAAACTTGAAAGCTATAAATCCAATAGCAGTTAACCCAACTGTTAAAACTATTCCACCTATAAAGCTGGGACCATCAAACTGTCTTTCATTGGTTAGCACATCTTTATGAGGAGCTTCACTGGTAGTAACCATTGTCAAGGTAACAGGAGCTACAGTAGTAGTAGTGGTAGTGGTGGTGGTAGTAGTAGTAGTAGTGTCATTTGTAATTGATGTGTTAGTCGGTGTAGCAGTAGAAGTACTAGTGGTCAAAGGAACTGGAGTCGTTGATGCGGAAGGAACTGTAGTGACTGGAACTGGTGGTACGGTAACGTTAGGTTGCACTGGAACTAAGGTACTCGGTTTTATCGGAACTGGAGTTGTAGGTGGTGGTGGAACTGTGATATTAGCTTGAGGTGGAACAGTAGTATTGGTCGAGGGTGTTGGTACTATTGAAGGAGGAGTAACAGGAGTGGAATTTGTAGCTGCTGTAGTTGATGTAACTTCAGTTGTAGTATCAAATTCAATTTTTAACTTACTTTCACTCGAACCTACAAAACAAAATTATTGTATTAAAAAAAAAAAAATTTTAAATAACTAGTTTTGTATTGTTACTCAACAAACAAAATACATATTATTAATAATAAAATAACATTAAATGAAAATTAAATCAATAGTTTTATCTTTTTATATAATTAACTTAATTTAAAAAACATGTTTTTTACAACCACTTAACTTCAAGAAACAAAAACTGGCATAAAACTATTGATTTTTGTACATTTACAAAAAAAAAATAAATCAATTTAATGATTTTACATTAATAATTAATTGCGTTTAAATTAAAAATAAATAAAAAAAAATCATTACTTAAATAAATATTTAAAACGTAATTGATATCAATTTCATTTTTAAAATAAATTATTAATTATTGATATTTTATACTTCAGACTATAGACGACGCATTAATTAATAAATTTTTTTTTTCCTAAAATATTCTGAATTTAAAAAAATATAATTTTCGAGATTAAAAACTTAAAATTTTATTATTTAAATCAAGACGCCATAAAAATAATAATTTGTAAATTTAAGACAATACTCAGCAATTTTAATCATTTAAAATAATAACAATTATTAAACGAAATAAACGTTTTGTAAAAATGTCACAATTTAACAAATTTTTCCTGGTATACTTCTCGAAAAGACTAAAAATAAATCCTATAAAATAACATTCTACCATATGTGATTAAGGAAAATATGAAAAATTCATAAAATATATTATTCGAAAAAAGTATAAACGTTAACGTTAAACAAAATAATTTTATAAAGGTAAAGTAAAAATAATTTCTTTTCCTCGATGACCTGAATTTTTTGAGTTCTCAATTTTCACTAAAAATATTTCTTCGTTTTACTTACTTTGGTTTCCAACCTGATTTGGTAAAGAATGAATTACACAAAAGCAAAAAATAATTTCAATAATTAAAACCTTTGAATTCATTTTAAATTTCATTTTTACGTGAAAATAATTATTTTATAACGCAAAATAAAGAGAATTAATAATCAATTAGATGTCAGTGCTAATCTTGACATGAAGCCAGATAACGAAAGTTAAAAATGGATGACGGAAATGAAATGATATTAATACTTTATTAACACTGCAATAAAACTTTAAATTATTTTTTTTTGCAACCGATTAACAAATCATTCATTCGTTAATATTTTAAAATTAATAAAATGCGAGTTTAAATCGTTGATATAATTTTTTTTTAAAATCAAGTAACTAGCTTTTGATTTGACTAACGTAGTACAAATTTGTCCAAATTAACTTTTCTTAGCTATCATGTTTAACTTATCACATCCGTCAAAAGAGATGTCAAACCTTTTTTGTTTGTTGCTAAAAAAAATGTCTCCTTAAACGGTGGTTAAAACATGGAAGCTTATTATTATTTCTATCATTATTATTATTATTAATATTATTACAATTGCTTATCTTGGACCCTTTGTTTGAATTAAAATAAATATAACGACGTAGATATTAAGATATTGTGTGTTTAATTCATCGGTAAATAAAGTAATATTTATTCATGAAATGTTCGTAAAATGTTTACATTGTAAGTGCCAATTATAAAACCAGATGCATCCTTTCAAATCGAAAAAAGGAAGAAGAAATCGATTGAAATATGTTTTTTTAAATAACAAGTGAAGTTTTTTTTTTTTTTTAAACTGAATCATTTGATTGTTCGTAATTGATTTTTAGCATGGTTTTTATACGAACATAATAAAACGATTTTTATATAGATATACCGTATATATGAATTTGCGTGCGTTTGGATTTAATTCATTTTTTTAAATGAAAATGTCTACAGAAAAGGATCGTATTTTTTATGCCAAATTAGAAGCCTTGAGAGATGTCAGGTAAGTGAATAAATTTTACACCGATCTGTAATTAAAAATAATTTAATTACGTGTGTATGTTTTCTTCACAACATTATACAACACAATTACAGGGCTAAAACAATTCACATGGAAAAATTAAAAGCACGAATTTTACAAGAAGTGGAAGCAAAAGATAGAGAAGAAAAATGCCTTTTAGATTACAAACAAGAAATGGAAGCACTTACTCAGGAAAAAATGGCACATGTTGAAGAATTAAGGCAAATACATTCGGATATTAATTCGGTGAGTTTTTTTTAGTATACCTAATTATGCTGTTTTTTATTTAACCTAATTTAAATAATATTATTATCAACTTACTCTGCTCTTAAATTTTGTTGAAAATAAAATAAATGAGATTTTTTCATATATACACAGATGGAAAATGTTATAAAGCAATCTGAGGAAGCTAGAAACAGAGCTCTTGAAGCAGCTCGAAGATTTCATGATGAATATTTACCATTAAAATTGGAAGTTGATAGAATGAGAGTCGAATATTTAGGTTTAGATCGTTTACCTGATCTTCATGAATCTGATAGTGATTTAATTGGTCAAGAGTAAGTTTTCTATTTTATTTTAATTTTTTTTGTTTTATTAATTAGGGAAAAATGTTAAGTCATTTTAATTTGTGACTGATAAGATTATCTGAAGAGTTTAGTTAATATTGACATTTGAGAAAGGAAATTTTATGAAAATTATCATGGCGAGGGTGAGAAAGAAACTTTAATTAAAAACGATAGCGAATAAGTTATTAATTCAAATTCACTTACCTTTTGCATTTATTATTGTGTGACAATCGAAATCACTGTATCACATGATGCCATTAAAATAATTTAAAGATTAGTAATATTTTATATTAAAAATTCTTTAAATTTCACGTTTAGTTTTTTTCAAAAACATTTTCCTCCGCCAAAACCGGATTGGAGGCCCGAGCTTCATTTTGCTGCTGCTGCTGCCGCATCGACTTTTGCTATGGCGGCACACCAAACGCACGCCGCAGGACCTTCATCTGTTTTTTTACCTCCTCCTCCACATCCACCAATAAGTTTAGGACCCAGCCACAGCAAAGCTGTACAGGATTTGCAAAGACCAAATATTCCAACTTTGCCGGGACCGACGCCAACATTTAGACAACAACCTCCACCAATGAAATCGTGCCTGTCTTGTCATCAGCAAATTCATCGTAACGCTCCCATTTGTCCTTTATGTAAAGCAAAATCAAGAAGTAGAAATCCTAAAAAACCTAAAAAAAAACCGCCGACCTGAGAATGGATTTCTCAACTTGATTTGCTCAAGTCTTATAGATAAATTTTTCTTTTTTTTTTTTTGTATTCTCTCTTGCGATTAAAAGGTCTTTTTAGGCCATATTGTGCCATACTTTACAAGAAGAAGAAGAAGAACTTGCGTAACGGATTTTTTTTTTTTTTTAATTGTATAAATCCGTTATGTATAGTCTGAAAAAAAAAAAAAAAAAGAAAAGAAACTTTTAATGTTTAACGACAAAGTTTTTTTTTTTTTTTTTAGTGATCTCACACAATTGTAAATTAATTAATTTTTCATTTTTATAACGACAGTACTGGATTATTATTATTATTATTATTTTATGTTGTAATTTAAAAAAAATTTCTCTTTGAAATAATTTATTTAATTACTTTTTTAAAAACTTTTTTTGTTTTTATTATGAATCCAATTCAATCAAGTCATAATTAATTTAAATTTTTACCAATCATTTAATTTTAAATATGCCTTATTTGTAGATTTCAGTGCCAAGTCATTATTATTATTATTATTATTTTTAAGAAAATGTGATGTATGCCAAATAATTTAAATAACTAATTAATTTTAATTAGTTTTTTTTTGCTAACCTTTTATTTATTTATTTTTAATGACATTGAATTATATTTTTCAATATCGTCATACATTTTTAAATTTAAGTAATAATAATAATAATAATTTAGTTATTATTATCAAGTTATGTAAATTATTTTTTTAAATTAACAAATCCACAGTACAAATAATTTATTTATTTTTTTCATTTTTATTATTATTATTATTATTAATAATTTTTTTTAACGTATTTTAAAATCTTGCATTTATTTTTTTTTAGTTTAATTTTTTTAGTTTTTTTTTGTACTTAAGTTTAAATAAAATTTTAGGTTTTAAGTTTAATTTATTATTATTATTATTATTATTGCATATTTTCGTTTTTAAATGCCATAAACAGTATTATTATGTATTATTATTAAGAAATGTGGTTTGTGATGAGCATAATTTAATTTTTTTTTTAAAAAAATGTTAGTCAAACAGTGCCATTAATAATTATTTTAATTAAATTTATAATTTGCTCCGTTTGAATCGATTATGTAATGTATTAAAAATGTTTAATATTTTATTATTATTATTATTTTTTTTTTTTTTATAAAATAAAAACCATTTGCGTAATTTTCTTAATAAAATTATTAATTTATTTCACAAAAAAAATTTTGTTTTGATCGAAAAAGTATTGGTGCCTTAAGCCAAAATAATAATAATAATAATAAATTTTTTTTTGAATAACTACGAACCAAAATTCTGGTAATTTAAAATTAAATTTTGCAAAAAAAAAAATTTTTTTTTTGTTATTTTCAAAGGAAATTACGCGAATGGATAATAAAATTGTAATAAAAATTACAAATTTAAATATTTCCATTTTATTTCTTTCATTTTTTATTTGTAAAAGAAAAATTAATTATTATTGACCACCATTGAAAATTATTTTTAATGAGACTGAATTAAAAAAAAAAAAAAAAAAAAAAAAAAACTAGTCGATTGAAATAACGGAAAAAAAAATTAATCGAAATTTTTAAAGACTATAAAAAAAACTTTACTAGTCAATAACGAAAAAAAGGGGGAGAGGGAAGGACGAAAAAAAATTTTTTTTTGGTTTTTGACACGTCGAAAAAAATTCTAATAATAATAATAATAATAATTAATTGTAAATTTCAGGGAGCAACAAAAAAAGGAAAACGAAATAATTTTTTTTTTTTTTTTTTTTGTAACGAATTTCTGCTTGATAAATATATATAAATAAAAAGGGAAATTACGTCATCAGTTTGTTGTCAAACAATATACCGTGTTTTAATAAAATTTTAATTTAATTTAAATATAATTTCTATCAATTTATTTAAATCATTTTAAATATCCGTTAAAAAATTTTTTTTTTTTAATTTCAACATGTGGCATTAATAAGAATTTTTTTCCTTCTTTTATTTATTTATTTGGACAACAAAGACATTTTGTGTTTATTTTTTAAAAATAAAATTTTATTTAAATATCTGCCGGAATACTTTCGCAACCTTTAATCCCGAGACCGGTTAAAATAAACGTACCTCCCAAATAAGGACTGTTTATCAAATCCTCTTTTGGTGTTTCGACTGTGGCGGATGAAACGTACAGGTCCTGTAAATCGTCACCTCCGAATTGAACGCAAGTTATGTATTTTCCAGGCATCGGAATTTTAGTTATCAACGTTTTCGTATTTGGATTTATGCAGAGAACGCAGCCACCGTTGTAAACGGCAAGCCATAAATTTCCCATCGAATCGATCGTCATACCATCTGGAATTCCTGGAATACCATTTTTCGGCAGTTCAAAAATTACTCTTCTGTTACCTAAAATATGTATATTTTCGTTAAAATTTACATTAACAAAACAAATAATAAATAAATTTAAATTAGTTAACGATAATTCGCAAATAATAATAATAATAACTCACTAATTTTTCCCGTTTTAGTGTCGTAATCGTAAGCGTCAACGCAATACCTTAATGAATCGGCATAATAAAATGTTTTCCCGTTGGAACTCCAACAAAGTCCGTTACTGATACCGACATCGTTAAAAGCGACGCTCATTTTCGAATCTTTTTCAAAACAGTAAAAGCTTCCCTGTTTTTCTTCCCATACCCCATTGACCAAACCACCCATTGTACCGGCAAAAACTCTTCCCGTGGGATCGCATTTTCCATCGTTGAAACGATTTCTCGGTTTGTCTTGTTCGACCGTGTGTAGTACGTTCAAATCTGTTTTTTTAACGCTGTTGCTCACTCCATCCCATTTCATAATAGCTATTGAATTACCAATGGCGACAACAAACTTGTCGGTTGTGTCTTTAACTGGAATGATTAATGAAACAAACGGAGCATCTGTAAAAATACCAAAAAAAAAAAAAAAATTAGACAATTAATAATTTTACACAAAAGGTTAAAACAAATGAGAGGGGAGAGGGAGAAAAAAGAGAGAGAGAGTAAAAAAAAAAAAAAACAAAAATTCGGTGTAATCGATTTCCCTTATCAGACATTTTTGTGTCCTGTTGTTAAAATGAAATTATCACAGTCAGAAGAATTTATTTCAATTCGCGAGAAATCGTTTACGTAATGTTTTATACAAAAATAATAATAATAATAATAATAATATTTACCGACTTTAGCTTCGTGTAATGTTTTTGTCGATGGATCATATCTAAAAACCATGCTCCTGTTAATATCGCACATGTACATACATTTCCTTGTTTTATCCCAATGAAGTCCTTCTCCGCAGGCCATACGACCGGTGATTTGTTCCAAATTAAATTTAAGCATCTTAAAAATTAAATTAATAATATTAAAACATGACGTAAATGTAATTCGTTGACATCTTCAATAACTAAATAATTTTTTTTTCCTTTTTTTTCGGGGCCTCCATAATTTTTTTCACGGCTAATAAGGTTCGTAGAAGCCATACGTTAAAATTTTTCTTTGGTAAAAAAAAAAAACGTTCTTTTCTTGTACGTTGTATATCATCATCCCTAATCTAAGTCAAATTTAATAAAAAATTAATAATAATAATAATAATAAATAACGAATTGAAAATATAATATTTAATTTAACAAACAAAATTAAGATGTTCACCTGGTATTTAAAAAAAAAAAATTATTTATAATTTACGTTATTTATTATTATTATTTCTCTTTAAAAAAAAAAAAACATTAAAATAAAAAAATACAAATAAAGGAGGTTTAAATTTACTTATACTCACCTTAAAATATTATCTGGCAAGTTGATTATAAGTTTTCCAAATGGAATAAAAAAAATATATAAAAAAAATTTGTATATATAATTATTGATGAATTTAATAATTTAAAGTTGCAGGAGATTACTTGGGGTCATTATTATTATTATTATTATTATTATGTAACGGCATGCAACACGCCAAAATGAACACGTTATTATTATGATTTGTTATGGACTTTCACCTTTCGTTATAATGAAAGCGAGATGTGATCAAAAAGTCTAAAAAAAAAAACAATTCCTAAAACCTAAATTAATATTTAAATAATAATAAATATTACATTTTTTATAATTAATAATTCATTTTATTGAAATTTTCTCCCTTGGAAAATTAATTTTATTTTAAAAAATATTTCTTATTTTAAAAATAAAAAAGTATATTATCAAAATTGTTTCAAAACATTATCAAAAAAAAAAAAAAAATATTTACCTTATTTTTTAAATTCAAAAATAAAAGAATGTCATTCGTCTCGACTTTACGTAAGCAAAAAAAGTACCTAAAAACATTTTCCACAAGTTTTCCCACATAATTTTCTTTCATCCATTTCAAATTTCTTCGAATAAAAAATATATATTAATAAAAAAGAAAGAAAACTATTTTTTGAATTAAAAATAAAAAATAATAATGATAATAATAGTTATATAAAAACCTTTAAAAATGATTGACGTCGAATGAAATGAAATGAAATCAAATCCCCCAAAATATGTCCGATTTTATCTAAATTCATTTTTTTTTAAATTAACATAAATTTCAACGGTTCGCAGACTTTAGTTTTTCTTAATTACTATGATTTCTAATACCGATTACGTTATTCTTCAATTGATAAATATTTCGAACCAAAAAATAAATAAATAAATAAATGATACAAAAATCATTTGGAAATAATTGAACCGACATCTATTTCCAAAACTTGTAATCCTTTTCCATAAATTGTTAATATTATTTTATTATTATTGTCTGATGAACACATTTTCGCATCGATTCCTTGAACGTCAGAAATTGATGTCATATGTTGATTTAAATATTCCATTTTATATTCGTTATTTAATAATGACCATTTCCACAATGTTATTCTCTGATCAATTGATGCCGTTATTAATATATTCTTTAAAATTTTTGCACCTGAAAAAATATTATTATCATCATTACAAAAAAAAAATTCTTTTTTTTTTTAATTTTACATTTTGATGTACCCGAACTTACCGGTGATTTGACACGAATGTACGTTACTATTATTCCATAATTCTTTCAATTGTATTTTATTTTCGTTTATTTGTACTTCGGAAGCACAAATTTTATTATCGTCTCCTCCTGTTATTACAAAATATTTTCCGACTTCGATTTCGGTGAAAGCGAAGCAATTAATTCCCGACTGATGAAGTCGAAAACTGTTTAATTTACCTAATGTAAAATTATCCGTCAAATGCCAAAAAATCATGTTTCCATCCGTGAGCATGCAAACGACGTAGAGTTTGGATAAAACTTTTAATATTGTGATTTTTAAAATGCAATAAGAACAATTGACCGAACACAATAAAGTTAATTCTTTTTTGAATGAAAAAATTCTTATTTGACAATCAGAACATCCTGCAGCAATCAAATATTCGTCTTTGGTCTTTAATACGTTAATGCACATGAATCGGGTGTCGGGTTCAGCAACGGGTTCAGAATTCTTCCAGTGCCTGTCTCTTTCCTCCAATTTATGATTAATTATCTGTTCGCATTCCAATGATTTGATGTCGAATTTCCAAATAATAATTTGTCCCTTTCCTCCAGCCGAAAAAATTATAAAATTATTTACGTCGTATAAACTTTCTTCTATGGCTCTAATGCTCGATACGTGAGTTTTGAACACTTTGAGAACTTTTAATTCTTGGCCAAAAATTAAACTGATTCGCATTGTTGTGTCTTCGCTTCCACTTACGATTATTTTTTGATCGGTATCCAATATTTTTAATGTATTTATATTTTTACTATGAAAACCACTTCTCAATCTTTTTATTGCATTCAAAATTAAATCCTTTTCAAAAATTTTGTTTTCTTTTATGTATATAAATTTTAAAGTGTCATTATTTAATTTGAAGTGACAAGACCTGTGGCCACCACTGCAATCTAAGCTAGCTATAATTTCTCTGTAGTTGTAACTCCATACAACAAAATTCACTCCTTGAAAACCTAAAATTAACTTATCGTTCTTGTATTTAATCATCTTCCAAGGCCATTCAATGGGAAGTTTATTAGTGCTTAGGTGAACAAAGTTGCTGCTAAAAGATTTAAGCACACCATCTCTTCCAATACTAAATACAGTTTTCCCTTCAATCATCATATCTGTAACACCTAAGTAACTATGAATTTTTTTAAAGCAAAAGATTGGATTGCAGTCACCTTGTAAGTTATATACATTAATGTTGCCCATTCTGTCACCAATTACTAAATTCTGGTCGAGAAGTAAAGCACAAGTAGTCCATCTTTCTTTGCAAGCAGGAAGCAGTAATTCTTTCACAGAAATTAAAGATTTATTTACATATTTCCAAAGAACTAGTTTTCCATCTGGTCCACAAGCGAGAATATGATTTTCAATACAGTGAATAGAGTATATTCTACCATTAAAGTATTTTTTATCAATAATATCACTTTGAGTTTCCAAATCAATAACAACCATGTGTCCTTTAATGGAACCTAATACAATGTAGTTTCCCTCATATGAAACTTCTAATAAACAGTAATATGCAAAATTTTCATTTTTATATACAAAATCTGTTTGATTGTCATTATCGTATATTATAGTGCAACAACCGCTAGTTGTAAAAACAAATCCATTTTTAATAAAGCAAACTCTGTTTGAAAAATTCTTGTCTGGTTTAATTATTTTTTTCGGATGGTACAAGTTAGATTCAGAAATCAAATAGTGCCAACTGACTGTATTAATCCCTCCATCTTCTCCCCCTGTCGCAATTAAATTTGAGCTATTTAAAAAGTGTAAACCTCGAATTCCACCATCTTGATGTAAAGATAAAGATTTTAATAAAGTTCCATCTTTTCTCCAAATAATTAATTGAGAATCTTCCCCAGCAGATATAAAAAATTCATCTATAATTAAACTTCTCCATACTCTGGCTGTATGACAATATAATACATGAAGAATTTCAATTTTAATATTCTTCCATTGGTTCAAACAACTCAGCGAATCTTGTGTATTAATGGTCCATATTCTTAAACTTCTATCATCTGATGTTGTGGCCAAAATTTTTTTTGAAATGTTAACTTCTATTGAAAATACAGCACCCTAATGTATAAAGTACAATTAATATTTAATGTGCAAAGAAAAGTTTTACTTTGAAATACTAAATAGAAAACTTACATTGTGTCCTTTCAATCTATGTAATAAGTTTTTGTCTTCATTTAAAAATGGAGACCATATTAAAATTTCTCCGAATACAGTTCCAGCAAAAATAATGGCTTCGCTTAAAGAACATTTAACTATTTTGCAACTATATCTAAGAATTCTAATTAAAAAAATTATATTTAAAAATTTAATGATGATTTAGTCTTAAAATTTTTTTTTTAACATGATTTTTTAAAAGTTAAAAATTTTCATTTAAAAGGATACAAAATACATCTTTCACTGAAGTGGAAAATATTTTTCTTTTCTTTTTGAATTAAGTTCCAAGTTTCGAATGAATTATGAGCAGTTACTAGACCAATTAAATTATTTTTAAGCAAAACAACATCTTCAATCCAATCTGAACATTGTATCTGAGAAATGCAACTTACTTTGTTTTCAGATTTTTCCCATTCGACTAAAGCTAATCGTTTTCCTCCTTTTATTATTAAATAATCATTTTTAATATACAAATTGTGAATTCTTTCATCCAAAAAAATCGTTTGGGTAAATTTTAATCCCTGAGGTTGATAAATGAACAATGTCCCACCAATGCCTAAAAACTTCAAATTTAGTAAGTGTCGTTTAAAAATGAATACAAATACCTTTATCAAGATAAACCTAAATAAAACACCTGCAATAATGTAATTTTTAAAATTTGTGAGGCACAGGACATCGGCTTGTAGAAAATATTCCTTGAAGAAAGGATTCATAATGGTTATTTTACCTTTCTTCAATTAAACAATATTAAATTCAAGTACCAGATTCGAAAAAATTCAAAAATAATTTTATGAAATAAAAATAAAATGTTTTAAAAAACATTTTTTACGAATAAATGATCGCCATATATATGAATATGCAGTTATTTACGTATTTTGTGCGCTAATTTTGATGTAAAAAAAAAAAAAAAAAAAATCATTAAGTCAGACAGGAAGTAATTCGAATTTACAGGAAATTAACCGTTCGTAACGATTAATGTCGCTGTAATTTTCAAAATCATTATTTGAAATTAACGCGCATGCGTAGTAATTTATAAAAATTAATATATTTAAGTTCTTTGTGAAAGTTCAGATTGATTTGAGATATTACGCGCACTTTACTAAATTTATAATTTTTAACAATAAACCGTCTCTAATTCTCTTAACGTAAGTCTTTTGTTTTAATCGTTGAATTTATATTCAAATAATTACTAATCCATTTTCATTTCGATACGTGCTTTTTTGTAATTTATATTTCTTTTGTCTTGTATTTAATTATTTGTTTTTATAATTTGCATCGTTAATGAACCCTAGTTTTTTTTTTAACTGTTTAATTTTTCTAGTTTCAAAATGAAAATTCTATTTTTTATTGCTCTCACCGTACTTTCCATAAATGCTGTGTCATTTTACGATCTTGTCATGGAAGAATGGCAGCTTTTCAAGGTAAATATTTCTCTATAATTTTATTATTGCACTTTCACACACAACAAAAAAATTATTGATATTTATAACGACCGTTATTCCTTTTTTTTTTCTTAAAAGGCTGAACATAAAAAAAATTACAACAATGATGTTGAAGAAAAATTCAGAATGAAAATTTTTATGGACAATAAACAAAAGATTACAAAACACAACACCAAATACCAAAGAGGTGAAGTCGGTTATAAATTAGGATTGAACAAATATTCTGATATGGTAAGTCACAATTACATATTATTTTTATAAATAATTTGTTAAAAAAAGAAAATACTTGATGATAATTATGTGTGATTTTCAGCTTCATCATGAATTCATAAACACTTTTAATGGATTCAACAAAAGTATTATTCCACCTCATCTAAGATCAAACAATGGTAAAACTCACCTTAAAGGTTCCTTTTTCATTCCACCTGCCAATGTTAAATTGCCAAAACATGTTGATTGGGTTAAATTAGGAGCTGTTACTCCTGTCAAAGACCAAGGTCATTGTGGGTCATGTTGGGCATTTAGTGCAGTAAGTAAAACAAAAATCACATAATCATTTTCAAATAAGATATTTTTTTTAAATTTAATTTTCCTTTTAATTTATTGAATTTTCATTCGAGTATTTCTACCATTATGAAAAATGAGTTTTTTTTATCAATGAATTGATATTTAGTCCATGTGTAAAGTCCTGTAAAAAAAACAAAAAAAAAAAAAAAATATGAATCACACATAAAAAAAAAAACAAAATAACAAAAAAAAAAATGATGTCATGTTGATATATCTAGGATTTACACTTTAAAATTAGGCATTTTTATTTAATTGATCTAGTTTGATTTAGCTTATTCAGCAATATTTTATTTGTTTCTCATCCAAAATAAAACAAATGAGTTAGAAAAACAGGCTTTTTAGACATTTTAAAAAATTTTTCTTATAAAAAAAAAAGAAAAAAAAACTATTTTTTAAAAATAACTTTTTAATCTGTTACTCATTGGCAAGAAAATCATTTAAATTTTTTTATAACCGCTCAAACAACTTTTTTTTTTTCTTTATTATCGAAAAACAAGCCTGAAGGTAAATAAGATTCTTAAGGTCGAACAGGTTAATCGTCGTACATAAATGAAATTTAAATAAGCAAAACAAAAACAAAAACAGAAAATTTTTTTCTTCAATTTCTTATAAGAATTTATCCTTCTCTCTCTCTCTCTCTCTCTCTCCTAAATAAAAAAAAAAAAAAAAAATTTTTTTCACTAATTAAACTAAACTTGATTTTCTTTTTATTTTCTTTTTTTTTATTTGAATTTTTTCGGGTCATTTAATTTCAAGTGTATCGACGTTATTTTTTTTATTTTGCTGAAAAACAAATAAATTGTCACAAAGTTCAAAGTTTATGATTATTATGAGATAACTTATACGTTATGGAAATTTTTTTTTTTTTTGTCGACATCGTAAATCTATATTATTATTATTATTATTAACAGACGGGAGCATTGGAAGGATTACATTTTAGAAAGACAAAAGTATTAGTATCATTGAGCGAACAAAACTTAATTGATTGTTCAACCGAAGAAGGAAACAATGGTTGTAATGGTGGTTTAATGGATCAAGCTTTTCAATACGTACGCATAAATGGTGGTATCGATACGGAAAGATCTTATCCATACGAAGGCAATAACGACGTGTGCAGGTAACCAACTACAACCTGAACACTACAAATCACGACCTGAAACAAGAAAAAAAAAAAAATTTAAATAAAGGATTTATTTCATTTCAATTTTATTATTTTATTACAGATACGAACCTGAAAATTCGGGAGCCATCGACACGGGTTATACCGACGTTCCTTTAGGAGATGAAGATGCTTTAAAAAGTGCCGTCGCAACTGTTGGACCCGTTTCCGTTGCCATAGATGCCAGTCAAGAATCATTTCAACTTTATTCAAGCGGCGTTTACTTCGAACCTAATTGTAAAAACGAACCTGAAAGTTTAGATCACGGAGTCCTTGTCGTGGGCTACGGAACGGATGAGGAAACTCAACAAGATTATTGGTTGGTGAAAAATTCATGGGGTGATTCATGGGGTGAAAATGGTTACATAAAAATGGCAAGAAACGCAGACAATCAATGCGGTATCGCAACTCAACCTAGTTTTCCACAAGTTTAAACTTTAGTAATACAAAAGGCACAATCACGAACGAGAACCTAATAATTTACGGACAAAATTTTTTAACAACAATTTTTTTTTAAGCACACGAGTGCCTTTTTTAAAAATGAGGCAATAATCAAAGAGTAATCCGTACTTTTTAAACAAAATTTTTTGTCAGCAATAAAAAAAACCTCAAAAAAAAAATAAAAAAATTGCTCACCATTAATGTGTTTATACTAATTATTATCAATAATAATAATTTTATTATTTTTTTTGTAAATGAAAAATGAGTAGAAATATTATTTTATCGTAATTTAATATTAATATTATTTATATATATATATATATATATTATTAAAAATTATTTTTTACTACTATTATTTAAAGCCTTTTTATTTTTTATTTTTATTTCTACATAAAAATTTTTTTGACTTTAAATTACGAATTAAATTTCATTTTTTGAATTTGACTCAAAGTCATGTAATAAGAACCAATTAATTTAAATATCTGAAAATATAAAAAAAAATAAAAATAAATAAAAAGTTTAAAAAGAAAAAAATTTTTTTTTTTAGTGACTAATGATAATGATACCGTAATAAATGTAGCACAATTTAATGGAAATATTTTTAATGCTGAAAAAGAAAATGGTTTTTGAAGCCTTTGTCGAATCATTATGTACATAAATTTTTTATCATTGTTTTTCATTAAATGAGTATCGAATAAAACATTTCCAGATTTTTGCCACTGAAACAAATAAAAAAAAAAAAAAATTCGATAAAAAAAACAATAAAAACTGAAAATAATGATAAATTGTTAAAAAAACGAACCTCGATCGAAAACGATTCTCCAATGTATGACATTAAAAAAAAAGTGAGAGACGAACCTCCTACTACGAAAAAAACACCAATTTTCTGCGGGAGAGTCCACGAAAAAGTCTGAAATTCATTTTTAAAAACAATCATTCATCGTTATTAACAACAAAAAAAAAAAAAATGTTTGTTTGTTGTTGACTCACCGAAGTTATTACGAAAGCTGGTATGCAAGTATGAATAAGAATATATGCTAATTCAAAAAATAAAAAAACTGATATCATATTTTTTAAATTTTCATACAACCTGCAAAATTTAATACATTTTTAATAATAATAATAATATCTACAATTACTTTAATAAAAATTTTAATTGATCCGTTTGTATCGAATGAATATTTAAATACCTTAATAGAATTTGATGTTGTTTAATCCAGGATTTAATAATATCATCATCATCATCATCATCGTTGTTGTTATCCAAATAAATTTTAATTTCTTTCAATAATAAATTATGATAGTGAAGTTGAGATTTGTGCAAAACAATTATGCTTAATATAAAATTATCTACGACGATGCCTTTTAAATTGACAACGAAAAAACTAAATGTCAATATTATGATGATGATTTGAAAGAGGGGCGTGAAATTAAAATTTATACCCAATCGTATGACGATCGGAGTAAATTGTTCATGTACGTTATTATAATTAACGATGGAATTGTAAATAAATGGCAAAAAAAATGCCGATGTTGAAGATGCGTTGACGAGTAATTGAATCATGGCAATTATTTTGACTCCCCTAAAAAAAAAAAATTTTTTTAGAAATAATACAATATTTTTATTTACCTTATAAAACAGTTCAAAAAATTTTTTTATCGTGAGTCATATACGTTAATTCATACCTAGAATGTTTATTGTGATATTCGTTAAAATCACTAACATTTCTTTTTTGAATTTTTTTTTTCATTTCATTTATTTTCCTTTGTATTTTATTCGTTTCGACGAGATGATGAATGAGTTTTTTTTTTTCTACGTTTATTAATAAAATTTTTAAAATATGTTGAGTGCAATGAGTTACCGATGAAAGACTTCCACAAAGTACGTTCATATCATTTACTAAATAAGGTACGGCTCCATATTGCCAAAACGTCACGACTATCTGTAAAAATTCAAATTTTATATTATATATTAATTAATATTAATTTTTTGTAATATATATATATATTTCTCACCAAAATAATTTCCGTAAAATATTGATATCCTGCCATAAAATCTCTTCCGTATTTACCAAAACATTTTGGATGGTATCTGTAAAGTGGCATTCCAAATATCGTATTAAGTTTTTTCTGAAATATTAAATAATCCATGACTAAAATACAAATGAAATATTTTCTTTCTATTTTATTTAAAATAATAATACTTTTAAAGTTAAAAAAAATAAATAAATATTTAATAAAAGGAAAAAAAAACACCTGATGACAATTTATTTACCCCGGTAATTTAACTTTTTAAAGAAAAGTTTTTAACTTTTTTTATTTAAAAAAAAATCACTAATTTTTTTTTTTTTTAAATTGTTAATATAAACGAAATTTAAATTTAATTATTTATTTTCTATCCTTTCTTTTTCTTTTTTTTTTTACATATTATT